TGTTATTTATTCTATGCACTGAAGACCTTTCAAAATTTATACAATTTTTTAGTTCCGATGAGTGATCTTGATGAAGTTTTCAACTCCAACCCTCTGCACTGGCTTTATACGACTTCTTTTGTCTAATGCTTCAGTAAAGTTGCTCACCATGGGAGCATTCATTTACAAAATCAAGCAAAAATTTCTTATCTTGTACTTAAAAGTATATTTCGAAAATGTAACAATGAAATACGATTATTTTATTGTTACGAAATGTCCAGGCGCGGTAAAATAGCTTCCCCGCACATCAGGGTTAGGGTTCCCACAAAATGGCAAGGGAAGGTAGGGTTGCCACAAGAAGGTAAGGTTGGCGAGAAATCGACCGTTTGGCGACAAAATTGGCGATATCCCATGGACGAATGGAGAAACTTCTGAAACGAATTCTTACCCGTTTAGACCAGAATGTTCTCGAACACAAGCCAAAAACTATATAAACCCTGCTGGTAGTATCGAGTTAGTTAGTCAGTCCGTGCGGAGTCGATCGAGTTGACAGCCGGGCAGCGAATGCCGAGTGGGTCGTCGAGTGCATTGAAAGAGTCTCTTAGCGTATCGCGGTTAGTGCATCGTCGAGAGAGTGTGTTGAGCTCCGGGAACGACTGAACCGAAGAGTCGGGAGCAGTGCTATGTGTGTCGTCGAGTGCATCGCGAGTTGTAGCTTGGAGACACTCGAGAGTACGTGGAGTTCCGAGAACGACCGAGCAGAATCGGGAGCTGTACTCTTGTGTGCTTTGCAGTGAAGCTGTCTTCACCGTTATAACCTGATATTGTGAAGGTTGTGTCGTTGATTGTGTCAGCGTGTTTATAGTAGTTCTTCGATGACTGTAAATGTGATTTTGGAGCTGTCCTGATTAATATTTGCTAAATAAAGTGTATTTCGATACTTCCTCAAGGGCTGTTGTCATTATTCACTCCAAATCTGCACGAACTCCGTAACGAAAGTACTAAAGAAAGAAAAATAACGTAACAATATTTGTCATCAGGATAAGTTGGCAAAAATTTTTGCGATTTTGATTTCCATATCCACAATAAAAAAATAATAATAAGCTGAAATATATAAGTGATTTACTTTCTTTTAACATGAATTGCCGGGAAAGAAATGGTACAATTCCTCATCCTGATTTATGTCGCATTAAATATAAATGTCTGCCTATTTAGATAAATAAATGTCTGCTCTTCTTGAATTACACTACTTGAAGAACACGGGAAACTAACATTACCTCTTTTCATGCAAAAAACAGATCTTATTACTCTTTAATATGTTTTAGCGATTAATGTCAGTGGAAGTGCATCGGAGCAAGGCAAATTTCACTTCTTCGCTTACAGCAAAAATCATAATTTATAGTGGAGAGATCAAGAGGTCTTGCTTCGTTAAGCTCCAGTAACTCTTTCCTTCGAATGTGAAACATTTAATATTCGATAAAGCAGTGTAATGTTTATAGCTCTGAGAGTACAAAAGATCATTTTCATAGAAAGACATTTACTTTGCAGATGGAACGAGAACACAAAAATCATAAAAAAAATTAATGAAACTCAGCTCAAAGTTAGTAAAACGAATGAACCATGAGTATCCATGCTTAATACAAGCCCCTTAAATATGCTATTCAAAATACAATATTAAATCTTAAATTAACTTAAATATGTTTAATATGTTTTATAAGTAAATCTAAAAGGAAACGTTTAATGCAATATTCACATTTCAAAATGGAGATTAGGATTACAATAAAAAAAAGGAATGACATCAAAAAATATTCACATTACCTCTAACCGCTTTATCGTATTTCATAATTACTTTGTTTCCTTTATCATTTCCCAGTTCAGATTCAAAATTGCAAAATTTATATATAGGCTTGGAATTTAAGAAGCTATAAAGCATTTTCTCCCTCCTTTTCGCTTACCTTCATGGTGTAACTGGAATCGCAATCGACATGTTTCCAGGAGGTCCGAAGTTCGAATCCCGGAGGGAAATGCACAATTTTTTCGTTCATAATCACTAAAAAGCTCCTTCTAATAACTGTTAATAGTCATATATCCGAGCTCTGGAACTCTGTTTTAGAGATTAAATCCAGCTACATGTATATTAAGTATTTTAAACTGTAGGATCTTTTCGTTTAAAAAAAAAACAGATATATGATCCCAGCAGGATAATTAATATCTATGATAATATCCTTCTGATTTTCTACATTTATATTCTCTTGTATTAAGCTTAACGTTGTGATAACCCAATGGGTATTTTGAGTCTTTTAGCATTAATGCAAAAACTAAGAATACTGTGACATGGATATTAATTATTTAACTGGCAATACCTAAATGCTAGAATCCAAATAAATCGAATTACATGAATTCGATTTATTTGGATGAATTAGTTGCAAATTAAACACAGGAAATCAAGTTTCGGTCAAAAATCTCATAATTTGTTTTGTTGTCTTTTCTTTCAGATTGTAAACATTAGAAATTTAAAAAACGATCTAACATTTGCAGTTACATCGTAATTATAGAATAGTGTTGACACTTTTACTACTAACGGGGCATTAGTTTAAAAACTAGTGCTGAGTTAAAAAATACTTAGAAACTCACTGTAACGTATCCCAGTCGTAGAATCAAACCAGTTAAACATGTTTCATCTTTTATCACCCAGTTGGTGTTAAACATTTTCCCGCCAAATGCTCTTGTCTTGCGCGCCAAATGCAATTAATTGTTTTTAATTCGTACAAAAGGTTAAGCAATCCTAACAAAACTATATTCAAACATTTTGCACAATTAAGGAGTGAAAAGATAAAACATTGTTGATAATTTCTAGTAAAACGTCATGTGTTCTTTTGAACGTGTCCGCAACGGATGATGTTCTGGAAGTTGTTTTGTTTCCTCAGATATGCACATGTTGATGTAAAGCTGCCAAGATTGGATAATTTGACTTAGTGTACTAATATCAGTATTCGTGCATTTAATGAATGTAAGAATTAATGAGGAACACTTCATTAATTCTTACAGAGCCCATAATTTGTTTCGACATTAAAATTTTAATAAGAATTCAGAAAATACATATGATCTCCAGTCTGTTACTGTAGTATCCCACACTTTTGTTATTTTAAAATAGGCAACTAAAAAATTATTTTAATGCTGAATTCCACCGTGAAGCGGTTGACACGTGAAATCCATGTCAAAACATTATAAGGTATTTCTCTCGCCTTCTTGGCATGCCTTCGTGGTGTGGTGGTCTGCACGCTCAGCAGCGCGTACTTGAGAGGTCCGTGATTCGATTCCCGGCGATGGCGTTGCATATTTTTTCATCTTGCTTGCTTCCAAAAAATACTTAATGTCTCTACAATGGTGCCCGAATAAAAGTGTGTTGGATGATGATTCTCCTCAACCAGGATTTGGCGGTTGGTTCCCCTAAAACCCCAGTCGCTCCTTAAAATGGGGAGTATATAAGGTATTTCTCCCGCCTTCTTGGCATGCCTTCGTGGTGTGGTGGTGGTCTGCACGCTCAGCGCGTAATTGTGAGGTCCGTGGTTCGATTCCCGGCGAAGGCATTGCATATTTTTCATTTTGCCTGCTTTCAAAAAATACGTAATGTCTTTACAACATAACTTGAGAAAATGGCAATAGGATTCATTACGCGTATAGAACTCGGATCACATGTTACTCTTATTTTTCGATATAATGGAAAACAAATTATTTGAGTACATCAGTATTAGTGTCGATCGTGCTCGAACGCAACTACAGGTGCAGTCAGCTTTGCTAGGACACTGTGCATGTGCTCATTTGCCAATTTCAGGTTGTTATGACGCTCTCTTTTGTCGTTTTGCTCTTTTTGGTAACCATTGTATCGCCATCTAGCTCTTGTATGGCCGTATAACTTGCCTAAAATCTTAAATTCTTCAATAAAGGCTGGATAGCGGAAGGCGAGGGGCATACACTTGCTTACCTCTGTAGACGCGAGGTGCCCCCATCCTCCGTCACCTGTGACCTGCTATCTTTAGTTGTTGCATAGTAACTATAAACAGTGTTCGTATAAAGTTTTGAGACATCGTTTACTCTCGTGTTCTGGTATTTCAGGGGTTTCCGACATCTGGAAGTATAATACGAGGATTATGAACTCTTCTGCCGCTACCAACAAGTTTTTAGAAAACTTTTCATTTTAAGTACCACATGCTTCAATGATGCTGTGATCCTAACCCGAGCTTAAAAGGCACTCCAGATTTATTCAAAAGGAAATTTAGAAAGGCACGTATAATTGTGTCTTTAATATCTATGTTCGATCTGAGTATATTAACCTCGTTGGTTCTAAAGTCTTCTTGAGAACGTAGTGAAAAGAAAAATGGAATAAGAGGCACTTTGATTCTAACCTTCGGGATGCTCGGAGTTGCGTTAGGAAAGGGAATGTGCAAAGTTATGGGTAGCTGCTAACTTTATATCTACTGCTAATTCTATATCTACTACTTATTCTATACCTTCTTATTTATATCTACTGCTAACGTTATATCTACTTATACTATCGAAACAGGTATGTGAGAGATATCTACTACACCGATTACTTTACTGTGTGTGCTGTGTTTCTGTTTATAACTGGGACAGCTTAATTGATGCATAGGGCCACTTGTGGTCAATAGGTAAGGTGCTAACCATAAATAAACAAACGAACCCCTAATGCACTTAAGATTCGTAGATCTGTGTTCACATTCAAGCACGATGCAAAAGCAATGATTCAGAATAAAATTCCATCGCGAAGATATATGATGTTCCATAACTTTTTAAAATATTATCGCAGGATACTGCAATCTTTTGCAATAGTAAATAACTAAGAGGAAATAAACTGCTATAAAATGTTAAATCTAAACATTAATGTTACATCTAAAAAGCGCAAAGCCTCCTGTTCAGATAGATTGTTATTGCCCCCCCAAGAATATCAGAAAGTTATATTTCTATAAATAATAATAATAATAATAAAATGTTTGACTTGCCTTTTCTCCTGTCGATGTGTAGGTCGTACCATTTTGAGTTCCCGCCGCCATGGCAGCACTTTGTTGCTTTCTGCGGTTGGAGCAGGTGTTACACACCCACACCGACCTCTGAAAAAGAGAGAAAAAAGATTTTAGCTTAACTTATCATCTCAACTTGTAACTTAATTTAAGTAATGTATCAAATGACCCTTATCTGATTTGTCAGTATTTACAATTATTCAGCATTAAATATGATTTCATACTTGCACACAAACCGCAAAGCGTGTTGTTGAAAACGTGTTTTATAATGTCCGGATATTTAAAATGTTTTCTGATTATTGACACCAGATGCAGCATGGGGTTTTTAAGTTAACTTTCAGGTAATAAATTTCATGTAACAATTGTAATAAATTAAAGATACTCATTCATTAACTTTGATACGATTAATATCGTTGTGTTATAGAATGTGGTTTCGTTAAGACTTCTTCTCCTCGAAATGAACCGAAAGTAATTGATACTTTTTATAAATGAATAAGGGCTCACTTATACAACAAGCTAAGTAACTATAAACATCTTAAAGAAAGGAATAGATGCAACGCAAATTCTCCTTAATAAAACATCGCCGATAAACAGAATCCCTGATTCGTAGATTTTTTTTCATATTAATTCAAAAGACTGTAGCAATAACTAACTTCTCAAACTGGTAGGGTCTGAAGAACACTGATTTAAGCTTCTATTCATTTAACACCTTCCGCTATATATCCTGAAATGCAAAGTTAAATAGAAATGGCACTTTTTTGCACATTCATAATTGGTTTAAAATAACATTATTTTTGAATGCATTCTGGAAATAATTTATATCCAAAAACTTTTCAGTTAAATAGACTGATGAAAAATAAGAAAAAACAGTTGGCTTACAGAATACTGAAAGCAACAAAGAAAGAAAATCGTTGCCTGTGAGCATAAGAAAATTATTACTTCTAATCTGACATTAAATTAAAACCCGGGAGAAAGGATGCAAGGATTTCTTACCCTTCCTCCCTTACCACCAAACCTCTCGAAAGGTCTTTCGGCTCGCCAGTATTTTAACTGCCCCAATATATACAATTAGAAACATCCAATCGTTTTCAAGGATTCGTATCCGGGCCGAAATATACCGCTATCGGATTCACTTATTAATCTAACAATCAGAAAGGCTTCAGTCAAATATATTTTCATATTTTTGAGAAGATTTTTACATTCATAAAATGTTCTGGTTTTCTCCTTTCCCTTTCATAAATTAATTACAATTTTTCTTTGTCGTCAGCTTTCAAGAATTTGTTTCTTAATTATCATTTCAACCAATATACGGTGCTAGGAGCTTCGTTTCCCATAAGGTGCATAGAACATTCTCGAATTCGTTCATGTTATTTATTTTTAAGTAGACAAGTGGTTTTATTTCCTTCGCTTTCACTCCTGCAGTTGAGGAAGAAAGTTCTTTTTAAAACTTTGAAATTTTATTCCTGCAGAAGTCTCATTTTATACCGATTCCTGTTGGTTATTAGTAATCCCATAAATAATAAAGTTGTGCAATCCACTATGGAACTGATTCACAGAACCGATCACTTTACCGAGCAAATAAACAGTTGATTCCAGAAAATGGAGTGGTGGCTCCTTTGTAGTTCACAGCGAGCTCTTCTTGGAACGTGTCAGGAACAGATATTCATTTGCCAACTGATTCACGTTACTACGTAAGCGAACGCTTAAATCGCGAAAATGAGCTAAGCTCATGTTGGCAGCGTGCCAGAAAAGTTCATTTCCCATTTTAAGGAGAGAAAAGGATGTTTGTCCTATCATGTTAACAATGAGTTTAATTTTTAATCATTTTCCAACTTTTTCAAAAATGTTTAATCCAGAATTTTATTGTTAGCTCTACTTATAAAGGAGGTTTAAGGAAAAAAGAAATCAGTTCAAGAAATTAACGTTTGATTTAATCTACAGATCTCATTGCTCATTCGATTCTCTTAGCTCAAATCTCGCTAACCACTCTTAATCCACTACACATTACCAATGTTTTGCTCTAAATTTATTGTTAGTGACCGGTGAGTCATGAAAAGGAACTGATGTAGTTCAATGAGGAACTTTTTATGGTCCGATACCATAAAACAGCAGTTTTGTCCACCTCTAATAAATAATATGACGTTTTCAACTGAATGAACTAAAAATCGAAGAGAAATGGGGTAAAACTACCTTTGGGAACCAGACATGAAAACAGGTACTAAACTTACGTTATTTTTATTCTTCTGCAGATTTTAGAAACAGCGGTTCGATTTTAACAGTTATTTTTTCGAATTTAAATGCATGGGACAAAAGAGCATATTCGGCATATTTTGCTTTATGAGCTCGACTAAATAATTATCAACAGGAATATTAATGCAGTATATGAGTATCGGAGATTAAGTGTAAGCCATCGTAAATGGTGGTTCCAGGAATTTCGGGATGGAAACTAGAGATTAGTAGATGACCCTCGTCCTGGAAGGTAGGCAGAGCTTGACGAAAATGTCTCCTAAGCTTTGGTGGAATAAAATCGCCTTGTAACTATTGCGGAGCTTAGGAATTACTATTGAGGAACTGCATTAATTATTGTAAAAATACACGAAATTGCATACAATGAATTGACAAAAATAAGTTGGCAATGTATCAGCATATATATGCAGATATATCAAAAAATACGTAGTACGCATAAGTATGCTGATGAAGCTAATTTTAGTTTCTTGTACGAAGTAAAAAGAAAGTATTATTATCGCGAAAAGTTTCAGGCAGCATATTTCAACGACAAAACCATTTTGACCGCTTTCGAATGCGATTTAACAATATTTTTGCGTGATATTTGTACGTAAGGACAGAATAAAAGACTCTTTTCCTCCAAAAAAATTATAAAACCGCTTTAAAATGAATTCTGAAGAGAATTTCTTGTGGCGTCTGTACGAACGTACTACGTATCTCCATACTCAAAACGAGTAGCCTCAGAACGTTGAATTTTGTATATAGAACTGCATAACCTGTAGATGGCCCTCGTATTTGGTTGCAATCGGCCGCACCAAACGTATATAAATATATTTATATATATATCCACTCTGTTACCGGCTCAGTGATATCAGTTTCTTTACTCTTATATGTTTGTAAATTGTACACTTTGCTTAAAAATGATTGAATTATGTTGTTTTTATCTCCGTTAAGGTTTTTATGCTTTAGTAATCTGTATGCAATATTTTTAGAGTTATCAACAATTTTAAGTTATTTAAAGTGCCGCTAAGCGTACTAATTTTTTGATGGGCGGCCATTGCTTGTTTTACATTGAAACAGCAGAGTAGTGAATTGTTGCCAATCTAGAGAACGTAGCTTCGCACAACAAAGCTAACGCTTCATTATTATTGCGAATTAAATCATGCTTAATTCTTTCTGGAATTTTTTCGGGAAATAAGTGTTTAAGATTTACTAATTTTAATAATTTAATTTTTAATAATTAGTAATTTTTAATACAGACATTTGAGTTTTTATATATTTTTCCCTTGTCGAGAAGTGAGAACTGAATTAATTGAATGAGAAATACTCAATCGTCTGTGAAAACTGTTTCTTTTTTGTTTTGTTTTGCTTAATTCTTTTATACATCGTTCTAGCTATTATAGTATTTGATAGAACTTGTGGCAACGATTAGGTAATCTTTAAATGATCTAAATCTTGTGCATTCTGAGTATAATATGAACGAAATATAATATTTAAGTGAACCTAGCGCCAGAGTGTCGCTATGGTAAACAAATAGAGTGAATTTTAAAGAATGCATTTATTTTATTGTGGTTATGCGCTGTCGGCGAAGTAGATTTAATTAAATCTAATAAGTTTAAACGAAATGCAAAAAAATACGTATAATTTAATATTCCGTACAAGGAAGTCATATTGGTGTAAACATCAGATTTTTTTCTTTTGTTTTCAGATTTATTTATTTATGTCTTTTCATTATTTTATATTCTTTTCTAGTTTTGACTGCTGTTTGTAAAAAATGATGTAAACAAGTCATGATTGTAGGCATGATCTATATACTAAAAATTAGTTTCTTCTAGCCACCACAATTTATAAAGTCAAGATCAATTTTTGCATGCGAATAACGATGTACTGTTAGGTAATAATATAATTTCTGAAAATTAACACAAAAACACACGTTACAGCACATAATGAATCGTAACAATTGTGCTTGTGCTTTTAAATATTCAGCACAACTTTACAACAGTACTTAAATGTAAGCTTTGTAAACAATTTTATAGTTCTTAATTAATTCTGATAGTAAACAGATCATGTTTACAAAAATGATTTGTAACGTGGGCATATCACGTCTGTTTCTAATGCAATATATAATGTCCTGAAACATATTGCCTGTACCCACTACAATAGATAACATCTTAAAATATTTCCCTGCACAACTGCTCGCTGGAGTCATATTTTCCATCACAACTCGAGGAATGATGGCAGAATGTTGTTAGTTTCCTAGTTAGTGTGTGGGGCTAATGCCTACTTACTTAGGGTAAATATTAGGTGGCCCCTCACTTCTACATAACATAACATAACATTATTTATTGGATAGACTCTTATTAATTGCTTTAGTATTTAACTTACTCTGCTTCAAATTTTCATTCCGAGACTTGTAATACTGTAATACAAAAGGAGCAACTTAAAGCGTTCATTTTTGGCCACGGCTATTTTAATAATATTAAAGGAACTACCCTTCAAACAACAATGGGATTTATCTAATTTAATATAAAAATTTCAAGAACAAATAAATAGGTATTTCCACTACATCTTAGTTATAAAAAGGCAAACGTATGTTTATGAACTATTCATAACGTTTCTTAACGTTATTTGACCCTAATCGTAATATTCGAAAGTCATCCTTTATTAGAAATGAAAATATGAAACTTTAGCCTAAGCAAAAGCAAATTTAGTTTGTCGTAGATAGTTTCAACGATTTTTTTCTTAAGAGAAAAAACCGTTCTGCAGAATTTGTTCTCCTGAAGTTATGGAATCACCTCCTGAAGCTATAAAGTGAATTAAATCTCCTGAAGAAGAAAGACCTGTGTCTGACCTCCATCAACTTC